CTCCTTATTTTCTCTGAACTTCTCCATCAAACCTCTCAATAAATGTATAGCTTCCATAGTAGACCTGCCCGACATAAATCCAAATTGATTATGAGAAATTTTTGTGATGTGTCTTAACCTATGTTCAATTACCCTCTCCCATAATTTTAAAGTATGACACATCAACTTAATTCCTCTATAATTTGCACACTCTTGTGCATCCCCTTTATTCTTAAAAATGGGGACCAAAATACTCTTCCTCCACTCCTCAGGCATCTTTTTAGTTTTTAAAATAATATTAAAGAGTTTAGTAAGCCAAGAAACTCCCAAATCTCCCAAATATTTCCACACTTCAATTGGGATATCATCAAGTCCTACAGACTTTCCACCCTTAGTTTTCTTTAAAGCCTCCTCAACTTTTTTTTACTAATGCGACGGTAAAAATGAAATTTTTTATTATTATTCACGATAATAAGATCACTGAGGTCGATCGTATTTTCAGAAACTTCATTAAAACGTTTATCAAAGTAACTCACTCACCTATGTTGAATATCTTTTTCTAAGAAAAGAACTTTTTGATTTTCATCTTTAATACACTTTACTTGAGTTAAATCTTTCCTTTTCGAATTATTTATTATTGGTAATTTTTAATTTCTATTTCATTTTTCTAGCTTGGGGATTTTGTAGCTTTCGTGATTTGGCATCATTCCTCTACTATTTATCTTGTAAATGTTTCCTATAAAGTTGAAGAGGAATAATTCTTTTTACCCTTCTAAAAAACTTCAATATATATTTATATATTGTTTTGTCGATTTGAACTAGACTATATGCTCACTTGAAATACAAAATAAATAAAAATACTTATAAAAAACTATGAAAATTTTTGTAACTGATAGTAGATAAGCTTATATTGAACATCCTAAATTTATTAGTTTAAGAAGATGATCATTTTACACAGTATAAATGAAAAATAGGTGGTTAATCATCTATAATCATTTTTTGTATGTACATAAACAAATCCAATCTAAATGAAAATTGAAATTTGAGATTAATATTGCATAATAAACATGTTCTAAAAAACTTCAGCAAAATCATATATTTAATGCTTGTTAGAAAAGACCTTCTCCATGGAGAAAGGCTAGCGCAGCGACAAACCCAAAAATGTGATCTATTTGATTATATGATAAAAGCAATGTACTGCAAGACCTTGAGCAAACTTAAAGCTAAGTCATCTACTTATCCTAGCCAATTCAATTAAGAGTAAAGAACTTGAACCCTTGATCTTGTTTGAACACCTTTTTGCATCTCCTAGTAGTTTTGGAAGATCATCCGTATGAGTTTCTTTTTAAGTAGCAATTATCTTCAACCTTGATCATTACTTGTTCACAACCCCATTTTAGTTTCTTGTATAATAAATCTTTACACAGACTTTGGGCAAATTGTCAGATAGCACCAATGAAGATCATTTTCCATCAAATGGCTAATAACCCATCTGGACTTATGATGGACTCTTTTCCACTTTTTCCTGCTCTTGGTTTCCGGTGTTCTTTGCTACCTCACTCTTGCCGGAATGTTTATCAAGTGGAATTTACAGATTTGCCACTTTCTATCCTATTAATACTCAAAAACAACTGGACTATCTGTTCCCCACACACTGAAATCGAAGTCAAGGGGAAACCGGTATTTTGCTTTCCTAAAAGAAATAATGGAAAGATAACTGTCTTACGATGAAAGTAGAGAGTGTAATGAACCCTTATTATTATTTTTTGCATTTAAAATCCATCTGCATTCATTTTCTTGGTTATATCTGCATTGAACTTCCACTCCTTCCAGAACAGGAACAACTGCTATTGTCTCTGTTCCCGCACCCGGGATATCCAACTCTCCTTTCTAATGCTGCTCGAACTCCAAGAATCTGCAAGAAAAATTGGAAGAAATTCAAAAACACAACTAGATATGTGGTTTACCACCAATTCTTAGAAGAAACCAGCCGGTCCATCCCTGTTTCCGGCTTTACACCTGCTTGCTGAATTTTTGCCTTACTGTTGACCCTGGGTAGCTTTTTTGCTGTCGGAGACTGCAGCAGCTGGCCTTCAAAATCTGCTGAGCGCATCCATCAGCTCCTGAAATCAGTGCTTAAGCCTAGGATGGATGAGGGAGAAGGTCGAGGTGCTCCAAAAATTGAATTTTGATAGAGTTCCAGACTTCATTACAATCTATTTCCCTCTTCGCCTCTCAAAGAGCAGGGAAATTCTTCTCCAAACTAGTGATTATCTGAAATAAACTCAACCAAAAATTTAGAAAACAATATGAAAAGTTGAGTTTAAAAAGAGTCCAAACCTCCCCTCCCCAAATTAATAAATGCAAGATTATGAAAATAACTGTTCGAAAACTTTTAAAAAAGAAAAATGGTATTAAGTAACCCTATTAACTATTTCATATTGATGTCATATAGAGAAATGGTCACACACAACTATTCTCTGCAGACATTATGATGCTTTTTGTTTTTGGTATACTCCTATATGGGCTTTTAGATTTGTTTTGCCTCATCTCACATGCATGTGATATTAAGTATACTTTTTCTACCTGAAAAAGTATGTGAATGACTTGATCCGTAACAAATTTGCAATCTGGCCTTCACGTGGGGGTTGAAATTTTTTTATCGTTCTGTCATTATTTGTGAAATGAATCAATTTATAGCATAATTGGCTTCTTCTAGGAGTTATTAGTGTTTCTGCTAGTACAGTATAACTTAAAAATATTATGGGTGTCTTATCATGGGTGTAACTAGTAAAAGCCATTATGATATTGTCTTGTGCTGCTCATTTTAGTTAAATGTATGGCCTCTTTCTAACTCTTGATGTTCCTGTTCATTTAATTAAAAGCTAACATACATAATGAACTTTTTTTTTAAATCATTTATTGCTTGTTGAATAGCCTGTTTTTTTCCAATTTAATTAATTTTCTTATCAGTGCCACTATTTTCTTTACTTTGTTTTCTGATGCAGATTTAATCTCCCCCACCCTTCCACCCCCCCTATAATTGATTCGAGTTCAAAAGCTTAATTTAGGGCATTGACCGTTTTTATTTACAGACATATCGAGCTGAGGCAAATATTGGAGTTTCTGAGTGCGTACTGTCACTCCATTGAGCAATTGTTTGTAGAGTCTCTGGAAACTGGTGTGTTATCTTCTTGTAACGGTGTTATTATCTTCTCTTTAGATTGCTTAATTGGCTTTCGAATATTCTTTTTTTACCAGGTTGTGATGATAGTTTGAAATCCCAAACTTGTGCTGATCTTGTAAATGGATGTCCTCAAATAATTTCATTGACTTTAAGGGGATTCAAACTCAATGATCACAAAGTTCGTATCCTGATCAAAGTAAGCTTTCTTTCAACCTTTTATTATATCACTTTCTGCTTATGTTATGTGCTAATCATTTCTAAAATTCAGCGCAGGATGCTAAAGAATGGTTTTAAATATGTTATATTTGAGATTTGTCCACAACATCTATTAGATTATATGTAAGAAATGTGCTTGGGTGAATGAAATAAGGAACAAGACTGAGAGGAATAGCCGCGGGAAAAAAATACCGAAAAAAGCGATATGAGATTTATGTGGTTCAGTGATGTTTTCCATATGTTTAATATTTATTCCCACATATATATATATATATATATATATATATATATAATTTCACTATTAGAGAATATGTATTTGTTCTATACTTTCTTTCTTATATTTTTATTTCTCTAACAAGCCATGTCTCTCTAATTTCTACCTTAGCAAACTTAAAGAAAACCAAAATAATCAATTTTATATATTTTCATATATATAATAATTTCTATAAATTTTTAACATAATATATATTAAATAATTTGGTGTGATAGAGTTAATAATTAACATTCAATATTATGAGAAATTAAGGTGACATTTAAGTTTGAAAAATTTAAGTATCGTAGATTTTTTTTTTTTTTTTTTTTTTTTTTTTTTTATGCGTGGATGAATAGTGATATATTTGAGGATGAAACTTTTGGAGCTAAGATTAGGTGGATGAATTAGAGAAGTGTCTCAAGAGTTTCTAGTAATAAGGGGATATCATTGTGGTTTAAACTTAAATTTAATAAAATGTTAATTAGTCATGGATGCCATATGAATCCAAATATTGGGTTATAAAAAAAGTCATTGATATTAAAGTTAAGTGTGAATGAATGAAAAGGTTAAAATATGCGTTAAAACTAAGAAGGATAAATTAATAAAAGATAATATAGATGAGTTATTAGATTGACATCTATTGAAGATAAGATTATTGAAAACCTACTTAGGTGGTTTGGATATGTATAATGAATGGTAGAAAATGTGACTGTTAAAGGAGTTGATAAAATTGGTCTTAGAGGATTGAGAAATAATAGGATTAGATTTAAAGTTTACATGGATTGATATTTGTTAAGTATGATTTGTGAGAATAAGTTTAACATATTGGCAACACTCACTTGGACAAATGGAAAGTTGAGCATTCAAAACTCTGACCTTAAATAGTTGGAAAAAGGCTAATGATTATCACAATCATATTTATTAAATACATCTCTTCGGTTAATGTTTTCTATAGTATGCCGCAGATTTGTAGTTGTGCTAGCCTGAATTGTAGCTTCTCCTCTAAATGCCAGGTGGCCTGTTATTGAATATCAGTCGGCGTCTCCATCTTTGATTCGTAGCTAGCCACTCAACATTATGATGCAAGTCCACAATAAGAAATTATATGGATTTTAGAATGTTTTTTATAATTTTTGTGAAGGTTCGTCTGCCAATGTTCTATCATTGATCTTCAAAGAACATCTATTAATCCCCAAGTAAAACCTAAAAAAATGTAAGGATTAGTTTGATAACCTCGAATTTACTATTCATAAGGATATGGCCCCTTAAAGCTCAAACAAAAGTTACCAGAATGACCTTTTTGATGAGAAACATGAAAATGTTAGCTAAATGCATGGGAGTAACAGTGGCCTGAAATCTAGTTTTTAAATTGAGGGCAAGGAAAACCACTATGCATAATTTCTTTTATGTTGAAATTCCGCTGAATTCACAATTTTTTCTTGCGCATTGCTACATATGACCATAGAAGACATGAATGTCACTTTGATCTTGAGTAATGTTTGACTTATCAAGCAATATCCCAACCATTGTCAAAACGGTCCTTTTTAGCGCTGTGATTTTTATGCAAAAGTAAAAGATTGCTTAAATATTTGATTAGTTTTTGGCTCGGATAGAAGTTAATAACCCGAATAGCGAATTATATCTGGCTCAACTTTAAATAAAATTTTGTGAGCATGGATTGTGTGGAGCTGGCTCAAGAACAACTTTGGATATTAAACAAATAATTTATATTTTAGATGATTGCAAATCAATTGAAATAGATCTAATTTTTAGTTTGGTTTGAAAAGAAATTACCCTTATGTGTGGATCGAATCAAGCTCACCAATAGTTATGCCTACAGGTCAGCTTGAAGTTGGATCAAATGTCTTTGAGCATATCATGAATTAGAATCGGATCGGCTAGGGATTGAATTTTAACATTCCTGTCCTTGATTCATGTGCACAATTCTCTTCAATTCTGTAAATTTTTCTTTCACATCATAGGTATTAGCATGTAACTTGTCTATCTAACCTAACTTTCTGTTGCTTGATTCTTTCCCCTTTCCCTAACTCCTCGCTTCACTCTAGCTTTTGTAAAATCACTCGTGTTTGACATTTGATTCTATTTTGCAGGGGCTTGCAAATCTCAAGTTAGTTGATTTTTCAACATCTTACTCAATTTCCGGAGTATTTTTAAGGTTTTCCTTTTTTATCATTCTATGGTCTTTATTAATTTGCATTTTCCCCCAAAACTACCACTTTCATTACAATCATTTTCTACTACTTTATTTCACTGTTTGAGTTGTTTAGGAACCTTGTCAATGGCTCAAATGCTCATTCACTTGAAGTCTTGATTCTTCGTGATTGCCTGCATCTCAAAGAAGTAAGCACATCAGAACAGTGCATCTATTGGAAGATTTACATACATATCTCTCAGTTCCTTTGTATTTTCATATCTAACACCTAAACTTTAGTTTGTACATATTTCTCATCTTACCTGTGCAATAAAAAAAAAGTATTTTACTTTTTAAAAGTTAAAATGATGCTATTTTTGATGTGATCTGAAAGATTTGGGTGGTATAAATGTAAAAAAGAGGTAAAGTTTAGGTGTTAGGTATGCAAATACATAGGGATGTAGTGGTATGTGTGTAAATGTCCCTATTCTATTTCATCTTTGTTGACAAAAAATGTAATTTGCTAGATTTCTCTGTTCTGCAGCTTGAAGTTGCTCGGTTCTTATCAGCTTTGATCTCTGGAGATTGTAAGCTCCTCAGATATTTGGTGTGTGCTCAGACTGCTGCCTGAGCTTTCACTTGTTATCTTGTCTATACAGATTTGCATGTAACTGCTTACCACGTGTCCTTGACCATGAACAGGATATCTCGAATAAAGATGGCCTTTCGTCAGAAGATGACTGGAATGTTAGGTGCTACAGCCCAAGGTAAGCTGTTATTTTTGCTTCAATTTTTTGAGGCCTTGTGTTCGGAGGTGTCAAATTGGGTTTGTGGGTCGGGTTTAGGTCTGACCCGAAATCAACCCGACCTAAAACTGCTTGATCCTAACTCAATCTAAATATTAAACGGGCCAAAAAGTCTAACTAGAACCCAGCCTGCCTTCAACCTGTCGATCCAAACTTGACTTGTGTAACACATTTAATATAAAACATAATAGCTATTTGGGTTGATTTCGGGTAAATTCGAGTTAATTTCAGGTTAATTTTGGGTTGACAGTTTTATTTCTAGTCAATTTCAGGTTAGCGGGTCGGTTTCAGGTCAATCTAAAATCAATTTCAAGTTGGTGGATTAACCTTAAACCGACCTAAAAATTATTCGGGTCAACCTGAATTCAATTTTTTTGAGCCGAGTTCAGGTGAAGTTGGTCTCTGTTGGGTCAATTTTTGACGTCACTGCTTATGATATTCACACGAGTAAAGTGTCAAAGTAGTCTCATGATTATTTACATGAGGTCATTTTAGTCTTAGAGTTTATTGAAGTGTTGGATTAATCTCTAGGCTCTTTTAGTGGGCGCCTAAAATAACTTTCGTAAGGGACTATTTCAACTCATTAAAAGAATCTACGGACTAAATTGATATTTTTATAAACTTTAGTAATAAAATGACCATGGTGACACTTTTCTCATATTCATATATACTAATTGTTTGCTTTGTCTACTCCACCAGTATCCCACCACTATCACGCATTTTGGAAGCGAGACCTGACTTGTGCTTGCTCGCAGACTTTCCTCCGGACGAGTGGTTATACTTTCTCGCATTAAGTTTGTTTACATGCACACCACACTTAAAACTTTACCTTTTATATTTATGCCACCCAAATCTTTGATATCACATAAAAAACACTAATATTTTAACTTTAAAAAAGTTAAATACAAATTTTCCATGCATAGATGAGATGCCATAAATGTAAAAATTAAATATATATGAATTATTAAGTGGTATGTATGTAAATCTTCCCTTGTTTTTTCCAATCCGGCGGTCTTCTTCTAAGTCCTTCCATGTGATTATTGCAGCTGCATGGATATTGAACAAATCAGTGATGAAGAAGTAGGCAGTGACTCCGGCTTGCAATTTGAGAACGATCAGATATTAAATCCAGACTACTTGGATTCATCTGATAGCAGTTATAGTAGTAATCTCGCAAGTGGAAGTGAAGACGCTTATGATACCAATTATGCATTCTATGATGGGGACAACCTAGATGAGCTCGAATTTCAGTTTAACTATTGAAATAAGGTCTCTCTCTCTCTCTCTCTCTCTCCCTCTCTCTCTCTCTCTACTCTCTTTCGCGCAAACATGCATATATACACATTAAAGGTGCGATTGGGGCAGCTTGTGCTTATCCAGATAACTCGCTTATCTGGAAACGCTGACCGTGAGGTTCGGCCCGCGTTCCGCATTTAGTGTAAAAAACCAACTGCGTTTTCGGATAATCTGCTCAAACGTATTTTTCAAACGGGGAGGCAGCGTTTTCAAAACGTCGCCGCAACAGATAAGCTGCCCCAAATGGAGCTTAAGTCTAACGGAAATAGCAATTATAAATAGATGACAGTACATTCATCTTTACTTATGTGCCTATGCACGTCTAGTCTTTCTTTGCATACGTAGCACACATTTCTTGTGTATTTACATATCTCAAGCCAAAACTTTCATATTTACACACATAAAACTCAGATCTTTAATATCACATAAAAAATAGCACTATTAACGTTTTTTAAAAGTGAAATACACCATTTCATACATAGATTTAAAACACCAAATGCTATGTATGCATGTAAATGTGAAAGTTTAGGTTTGCGCTGCGTGTGTAAAGTTCTCTATTAATATTTTATCTTGGTCTTTGAATATTGATGCATGTAAAGAGTGCTTTATTAGAGTTGTTGCTTTGTAGATTAATGAATAAATAGGTAAATTGCAAAAGAAAATTATATAATTATTATAATTCTCTATATTTCATATAATCAAATATATTGCATGATATGTGTAAATCATAACATAAATAATTAATCAATTAAACCATGTTCAAGGAATTAAAGAACTAAGACAAAAGTCTTCTTGATTTCTCCTCATAAACTCTGTTGTGTGCAGTTTGCAGGGTGAAGATTGGGGGGCCTCGAACAAGAGAATTCATTTCCTCAAGGAAGTCTACTGTGCCGTTCAATGTTTGTATAATTGCATAATGTAGATGGAATATTTTAATTTTCATAATGTAAAAATATGTTTCGAACCAATTAAATCGAGCGAGCAGAGTTTTAAGTGAAGGATGAGCCCAATGGACAATATGCACAATTTGAACTCGTGCCTCACGGTAGGAAACTACATCCTCAACTACTATGTCACTGGTAAGTGCGCGGATAGCTCTTCTTTGGGACGGTTTTCTGCATTCTTTGTTTTTCAGATTGTTACAATATTTGTGTCTATTTTCTAAATTTTTTTTTTGTGATAGAAAATTATTTTTTACAGTATGATTTGCTTATGTAATGGATGGGTCGTGCTGCTAACCGTGACGCTTTGATTGACATCTATAATGTCATTTTTAAGTCCCCTGAGGTCACGGGTTCGAGACTTTTTATGTGCGGGATCGAGTGGTTGGGCATTATCAGTTTGGTTGGGGGTTCTTTTAATAGCATGTGGTCAATCTTTTTAAATATATACATGATTGATGAGTATCTACAAAGATTTATAATTAATTAAAATTATTAATTATATAATAAAATAAATATCTATTTGATTTTATCTAAATGAATATTTAAATATAAATAATAAGATTTAAACCTCATTCTTACCCCCTAACATCTTATGCTTATCAAAACGGTTCGCAAACAGCTTATGTTTGGATTGTTAAGTTAATGAGCTGAACATAAACATAGCTTAAACCAACACATTTAAGTTTTAAAATAATTTGGCAAATAAGCTGCATTTAATATTAAAGCTTAAATAATAATAATATCACGTGAATATGAAAATCATGTTAGTTTTCTGATTCCAAAGTAATATATCTACAGCCCATATAGCTTAGTAAAAAATATATAAAGGAACATTTACATACATACCATCTAATTCTTATGTATTTGCATAACTACCACCCAAGATTTAAGTTTTACATTTATACCATCCAAATCCTTCACATCACATCAAAAATACCAACGTTTTAACTTCTAAAACCTAAAACATACCTTTTTATTCACATAAAACTCACTCAATTCCCATTTATTTACATATGAAGCACCTAAACCATTCTTTACATTTATATCACCCAAAGTTCATATCACATCAAAAATATTACTATTTTAACTTCTAAAAATAACACATCTTCTCGTGAATAGTTAGAGCGACATATATCTAAAAAATTAAAGTTTAGAAATTAGATATGTCAAACACAGGAATTAGAGAAAAAATTGCGCATGTAACAAGAACGCAGGGCTGCATACATTTGGGTTATAGGGAGGCTACAGAAAGGTATATGAATGTTACATATGTGCTATACTCATGTAACTTCCATATAACCTTTCTGTAACCCTCATATAACCCCCAAATATACACAGCCCTGCGTACTTGTTACGTACGCAAATTTTTCTCCATGAATTAAGGGATATGTTCGTAAATCTTCCAAAAATAAAAAAATAATCATCATTATAAGGGTCCCTAATAGCCATGCCTGCTTACAGACCAAGCTGTATGGACTGAACAATTTCACTAATACATACTTAATAAATAATTAATTTACATAAAAAGACTTAAAAGTGTAATAAGGCTAAAAATAAACCCACACATATTTCAGTTATACTCACTGACTGTTTGGGAAGCCAAAACTATCTTCAGCACCACTGTTCACGTTTTTCCTTCGCTCAGCGATCATGTTAGAATAAGCCTGCAATACATAGTTTTAATTGAGAAATACTCCGAGGGGCAGTATGGTAATAAATTTAATAGTTTTAGTCAATCTTGTAAATTCAAATTTATTAAATCCTGCCGACAACAATCCGGGAAGAAGTTGAGGAGGAACTGGATTTACTAAATCCTAATTCAAAACCCCAATTCATATTTTTCATTTTTATCGAATTCTCAATGGATTGATGGTGGAAAGCGTAAATGCATCGGTTTAGCAGTTCAAAAATAATGCTAGATTTTGTAAATAGCAATATTTCGAGTGTTATGTATGTAATTATCACTTAAGTATTAAGTAAGCGGATTAGCAACGTTTGAAGCACATACCTTGGGGTAGGCGTAGAGGAAAATGTACCACCATGCAGATACCAAACATAAAATACCAATACTGATTACAACTGAGTGGAGCCATAACCAACTCGACAGGGTCACAATCGCTCCTGTTAGCACTATCGTCCACGGTTGGCACCTATTAATTACAAAAGATGAGCTTGACATTAGTGAGTCTCGATAAGAATGTCAAATATAGGGGTGTTAAAGCGGGTTCGTTGGTCAAGTTTAGATCTAACCCGAAATTCACCAGAACACAATTGAAATATTAAATGAGCTAGAAAGTCCAACCCTAAACTGACACACATGCAACCCACTGACCCGAAATTGTTCCATATAATATGTATAACATAATACATAACAATTATTTAGGTCAATTTTACATTAATTTCGGGTCAATTTTGGGTTGGTGGATCAATTTCAAGTTAGCGGGTAAATTTTGGGTCGATTTTGAGCTAGCAGATCAACCCAAATACGGCATGAAAAATTAAATAGGATAGGATTCCTAACTGGAACATGACCTGAAAATTTATTTCGGTTAGCTTAAACTCGAATTTTTTATGTTGAGTTCAAGTCGAGTTGGCTTGTACGATCAAATTTTAACACCCCTCATCAAAACTAGGCATAATAAAATAGCAAATAAATTCTTTCTTAGCACAAAAAAATTGAGCTTTAGTGAGATTCATCAATTCCATTCAAAATGAGAGCATTTTCAAGCTCATCAAATATCATGTACTAATAGTCCACTAGAGTCTCAACCATAAGAAGCTATAATAGAAGTAACTTGCTCTTGAACTTCGCTCAAAAGCCATAGAGCCACAAATTGAATAAAAAATTTGATTCTAGTAGAACCTAACTCTGATATCACTTGTTAGAAAGCGGACGTAATATTTATGACTAACCCAGAAGCTGGGGTTAGGGCTTAGGATGAGCTCAATGAAAAACTTGGAGACTTAAACCATTAGCATCCAATAAGATATTATTTGTTTTAATTAGTTATGAGTTAATAAATCAATGAATGTGTTAGTTCGAACAATTAGAAATTGATTAGTTTAATGATAAACTATGATTGATGATCGCAACATTGAAGATAACTATGGCAACAACTTTAACTATAGCATAGATAATGATTGTTCCTTTAAACACAATGATAACTACAACATTGGTGAATGAATGTGCGACATTGTGGTATGGGATGAAGGTCCAATGCAAGAAGAAGAGGAAGAAAATGTTTAGTTATGCTTAAGCTTGCTTTAGAAAAAAACTTGAGCTTTTCAGTCTTATAGAAGTGATATTAAAGTTGTTTGGTTTTACTTGAAAGGCTTAAGTTGGCTTAAAGACAACTTAAGAAAAAATCAAGCAGATCCCAAGGCTATGGGAGAAATGACAGAGACAATTACATACATGCCATCCAATTCCTATATATTTACATTTCTAACAGCTAAACTTTACTTTTTACATTTAGAACACCTAAGTCTTCCATGATTGGAGCATTTACATATATATCACCCAATTCCATGTAAGAGAGAAATACAGCTTTTATGAAGTGGTATGCATGGATTAGATGGTATATATGTAAATACATAGAAATTAAGTGGTATGTATGTAAATCTTCCATTATTTTGTATTATTATTTTTACACTAACTGCTTAGTTCAATGTTATCTATCAAATAAAATGCTCTCTGTAGATGTTATCTTACTAAAAAAATGGAATACAATCTAACAAAATCAATGGCGATTACTATTTTTCTTTAGTAGCAATAATTTAGCTATTAACAATGGTTTTAGAAAATATACATGCGATAGCCTAAACTTTCACCCATCAACGTATTGCTCTCTTTGACCAAATGACCTCATGGTTTTGTCCTGTTGCCATACTTCCTAGGAGGTCACCTATCCTAAGACAGCTCCAAGATGAGCATACTTAACTTTGAAGTTTCTAATGAAAATTTCATTGTTACACCAAAACACGCATCGATATTTAAGAGTTCAGCTACATTATACCTAGAGGGTTTTAAATCTCCCTCACTTAAATAACTGACGTCCTCGTTAGTTCGCTTATCCAAGAATCATCCACTAGACAGATAGATAGCCCATACAAATTTAAGAGCTAGCTCCCCTCATGTACTACTTTGTCCTATCCAGTGTTTAAGAGGCAGCTCCCATGACATAGCAGTTTGTTCTGTATGACACTTAGTTCTCATCTTCGGGCTAGTATTATGCTCTGCTAGCATTTGTGATAGCTTGAAATCTCATTGATTAAGGTATAGTTCGCTTTGGTCAAATGGTCTCACGGTTTTGTTGTGTTGGCGTAACTTCCCTAGAGATCACCCATTCTAGAAGTGCTCGAAGACTAGCACACTTAACTTTATTCTTTCTATCGAAATTCCATCGTTACATCAATAGTCATCTCGATGTTTAAGAGTTTAGCATCATTCTACTTGAAAGATGTTCACAATCCAGGTATCATCAAAAAATCAAAATAAGATTTAAATTTCATTAATGATGCCAGTGAACTATCCCATATAACAAAGCGTAAATTTTCCGAACAGGCAGCGACTCACCAGTAGGGTTTGGTGTCCCAAACGGAGTCGTATTCAAGAGAGACGTGATTGAGATACCCGTCCATGTCGCCGATCACGCCATCCTCGTCGAAGAAGACGGATTCGTCGGGCTTCTCGCCATTGATGCTGCTGCGGAGGGCAGTGGATCGGCGCGGGAAGGAGGAGGGTGGGGATTTTGCCGAATAGGGTTTTGTGGGGTATGAGAAGAAGAGAGAAGGAGGGGAAGGTGAGGGGTAGAGGAGCTGCCGCCGGAACTGAGGTGGGATGGAGGAGGGAAGGATGTCGAGAGCTCGCATCATCCTTCCTTCTTCTATGGGAGGAGAAAATAGGAGGAGAAAAAACATATCTTTTTTATCTTTGGGGCTTAGGTATATCCATCACTCGCCATAAGCATGGAAATTAAATATAATATATTCCCCCAAAAAAATTGTGAAAATAATAATGTTTTTTTGAGCTAGCTGACAAAATAGACTGAGTATTTAGATTTTAGGGTGGGTTTGATGTCGACTTTTTCATGCAGTGCGTTACAAAAGCTCGGTCCCTAATTTTTTTTTTATCGTGACGAAAGTCTGGTAAAATTTTGATAAAATGCAGACCGTGTGTTCGATCACACGGCCTGCGTTTTGTATTTTATTTCCTTCGGCTTTTACTGCCCTGCCCCCCTCCCTCCCCTCTCTCACGACTTGGCTTCTCTCTCTGATTCCCGATGTCTCCTCTCTCGCAATTATGCCTTAAAGTATGATCCCGGCTTGCCTCATGGCAAGGGTTTGCATGTCTTGGCGGTTATTTTGCTCTCCATATTTCCTCTGCTTTTCGGCTCTGCTTGGTTCCTTTGCTCTCCCTCGACCCGCGGTATTCTCTGTCATTATCTATTCTGGCTTTTTAATTTTGCGATGATTTTAGCTTTTTTGAGCTCTATTCGGTCAATGATTTTCCGATGGTTGTGCACTGTAATTGGATTTTGCTATTTCTGCGTTTTTTGTTTTTTCAATTCATGTGATTTTGCATTGATGTTAGATTTTCTTTATTTTTGATGGGGTGATGGCATTTTATGTGGATTTGGTAACAACATTATTTATAATGTGTTGTTGTTGGTTACTATGATGATGATTCAACTGGTTGGGAATGTAGTGCGAGATTTTGAAGATTGTCTTATTTTGGTTTTTTACTATTTTCTTTGTTGGGTGATATTGTAATGACTTTGTTGTAATTTTTTTTGTTGTCACGAGTGTACGGTGTCAACCAACATAATTCAATATGATTTACGACCCATTTGTAGCATTCGATAGCTCAAAACACCCACCCGAGATCTTCTGACACTTGTTCGGAGCAAGTAGCTAGGCTTTGTGGCGATGCAACCCTACCCAGGAAAATTCCCTTCGGGAGGCTCATACGGGACATGAGGCATGGTTGATGCCTAATTAGATAATTAGAAGTCACCATACGTCCATATGGAGCCTCTCACGAACATAGGAAGTCATGGAGTCTACCCTAAGTGCGTTATGGGAAAATTAGGGTTCAGGACACACTACCCGCATCGCGATTTAGAACGACTATTGGGACCAATTTCTCGAGTGAATGACTAACAAGAATACTCCATTTCAGAGTTATGACAATATATTTCACTCATAAGAAGCATAAGTTAGGTTAGAGTTAAGCTAAGTTTAAGTTCAATTTATAGTTTGGTTAGGTCAAGTCTAAGTTGAGTTAGCCTTGAGTTAAGTTTATGTTATATTATGTTTAGAATTTGATCAAGTGAAGTCTAAATTGGGTTAAACTTGAGTTAAGTTGAGGTTAGCTTATGTTAGCTCTAAGTTAGGTTAGACCTAAGCTGAGTTTAAAATTTAAGTTAAGTTGTATTAGAGTTGTGTTAAGTTTAAAGTTAATTTGATTGAATTATGTATAAGTTGACCTAAGTTGAGTTTAGATTTTGAGTTGAGTTAGGTCTGAATTGAGTCAGACCTAAGTTAAGTTTAAAATTTGAATTAAGTTAGGTCTAAGTTGAGTTAGACCTATGTCAAGTTTAACATTTGAATTAAGTTAGGTCTAGGTTGGGTTAGACCTAAATTAGCTGTAACATAAGCCAAGTTTAAGTTAAGTTTATAATTTGGTTAAGTCAAGTATAAGTTGGATTAGCCATGAGTTAAGTTTATGTTAAGTTAAGTTTAGGATTTGATTAAGTCAAGTCTAAATTTTGTTAGACTTGAGAGTTAAGTTTAGGTTAGCTTAAGTTAGGTTTAAGTTAGGTTACACCTAAGCTAAATTAAAAAATTGAGTTGTTGGGTTAGACCAACGTTAAGTTTATAGTTAAATTGATTGAATTATGTTTAAGTTGGGTTTGACATAAGTTGAATTTAGAGTTAGAGTTGAGTTAGGTCTAAATTGAGTTAGACTTATTTTAAGTTTAAATTTTGAGTTCAGTTAGGTCTATGTTGGGTTAGAACTATGTTAATTTTAAAATTTGAATTAATTTAGGTTTAAGTTGGGTTAGACCTAAGTTAAGATATAAGATAAATTTTGGTTGGCTTCGATCTAAGATGGATTATACCTAAGTTAAATTTTAGGTTTGGTTATTAACGTAATTTCTTACTTAAAGCGTTAATTATGAAATTATTATTTTTAATTAAAAAGTTAATTTAATGTTTTCATTAGGATGTGATCCTAAGACTTTTTGAGTTTAAAAAACAATTTGGGCAGAAATGCAAAATTTTTAGTTTTACCAATTTTCCCCTAATATTTTAATTTAATTTTTAAAATTTTGAGAGATGAAAATTGTCATTTTAGTATTTAGGGTTGTTGCCGTAAATCTTCTTTTTAATCTTCATTTTGATTTGTATTTTTAAATTTTATTTATTTTTTTATAATTATTTTCCAAAATAATTATAATTTCAGTAGGAAATTAAACATTTTTTTGTGAGGGAGGTCCCCTGACTATGGAAAAATAATGGAACAACCATAATGAAAGAGGGAATAATGTCTAAAAATTTTATATTTTTATGTTTTATATTTAATTTTTATAATTTAATACTTTTATGTGGTATTTAATTCATTTATAATTAAATAAATTAATTATTTTATTTTTTTATCAATTCTTATTTTGTTTGCTAAGTGTTACAATATTTTTATCATATTTTTGTGTTTTTTCTTTGCAAATACATGAATTTTTTAAGTTTTATTTGATTTTTTATGTTTAATTAATTCAAAAATTCTGAATTTCCTACTTATCTAAGTAAGCCCTGACTTGATCCTCATATTTGTTGAATGTTCGTGCAATGCTCCGTGGTTGGCTTCCCTTTCCACGCTGACTGCTCAGGATGCGCTGACCTGATGTGCTGATTTGATCTCGCGGTCCGCCCTGTCCGATCTTCGCCATCCGTTTCAAATAATGTGAACGACTGACTTCAATTCATTGTCTAAAAGTGTCTGTGAACTAAGAGTCGTACACACTCTAGGGTTAAAATCTCACTCGATGGTTAACCAAATTGTACGAAGTTTGTTCATATAGCGTCATCCAAGCGAGACAAATCTATCTATATGGTTAAGTGGGCTTGCGTAGTTTATTTTCTCCACAAAAGACCAAATCGAGGCTTAATTTCAATGTTTTGAAACCATACCTTTTCCCAATAGGTGAAGCCTCGATTATGGTTGATGGAAACCATCACCATGATGCCACAAAGCTCCTCATTGCTTCAATTCGAATTAAGATTGGTCCTAGCTATGAACTAGACTAAATGGGGCCATGGTCTGGTTTGAGGTTATGATAGGGGTTGTGAGAAGGTCTAATTTGATTGGGGAAGGAATGTTGGGGCTCTGTGAAGCTTTTGAAATGCTTAATTGGGAGTTCTGGAAGGGTTTCATGTCAAGGCTATAAACGTCCCTGGATTTCAGTGGACAAATTAGAGCAACAAGAGTGACATGGAGGATTGAAAATGGTGGGGATGGGTCGCTCTTGACTGTGGGAATGCTTTTACTGTTGGGAGTTAGGGGTTTGGAAGGTTGTTTGGGAGCTTAGTGTGCGTGTAGAGCTCTCGGATTGGGGCTATTTATAGCTATGGGAGGCAATCAAGGGAAGCTCTGACGCGCTTGAAGATCTCTGGTGGCTCCTCAGAGGATAAGCATATGGATTTTAGAAGCTTGGGTAGAGGGATAGAAGCTTTCTCCATTTTTTATGTTTTGACCATGGTGAGCTCTAATGGCGATGGAGGAAGCATGACCAAGGCTTGAGAGGATTGGAGAAGCTTTTGGTGGATGACTTGACTCACACTTGGCTTGAGTTTGACTCCTTAAAGTTTGAACACGAGTGAGTTGGACTTGGGTGCCAAGTCTTTGCTCATTTGGTTTAGTGTGGTTTTTTGTCTTTTAGTGCTTGTTTTAAGCTAAATTAATTTATTTTAACATTTTCTGTCATCCATGTGCTATGGCGAGCCTTATGAGTCATGGGAGGTCTTTTTGGGTCATGGTTGACCCATGGGAGATGGGGCATGATGAATGGGTCCATGGGCTTCTCATGTGGCTTGGGCTTGGGTTATTTTTGTGATTTGGCTTAACCAAAATAATTTTAGGTTTAGCCCAAAAGATTAGGCTCAATGGGTCTTCATAATTTGTTTAACTATATAATTATGTTAATCATGCTCCATAATTTAATTTTGATTTTTAAGTGACTTTGGTATTAACACTTTAAATTGGTTTTGATTTTATTTTGATAGGTTTAGTTATTTGTTTATTAATTGATTGATTCTTTGATTTAGTTTAACTTGGGTCTAACTGGATTTTGGTGACTATTGGTGATTTTAAATTTTAGGGTTAAGTTAATGTGTTTAGGGTTAGTTGGCGTTGGGAAAAATTAGATGAGGCCAAAGTTTTATTTTGGCGACCCACCCCTCCCTTGGATTTGAATTTTGACGTAGTGAAATTTTTAGAAGTTTTTTAATAGGGTAATGTGGTTAGAGATAAAATCCTTGATTGGCCTAGGACCTCAGCCTAATGGGCTGTTCTTAGACCAAAAAGAATTATTTGGAGTACCCAATGGGTCCTTAGGACTCTAGGCTCTAGGGGTCAATTTTCACCTATAGGAATTCAACTCGGGCTTTTATCGTTTCAAAACCCCAACCATCCCAACAAAAGGTTGGGGATGCGAGCTTAACCTTTGAAGCACTAAGTGAATATAGAGAATGTATAAAGTGCTGGTGGGTGTTGCTCCCATTTCTAGGCTTCCATGAAAGTCACTTAAAAACTCTAAGACTACGCGCTAGACTTTTACGGAGAGAAAATAGATACTCTCAAAAATAAGGTCCACATATTCTCTTTATTCAACATTCGAGCCACTTATTTATGAGAGAAAATATTATATCCGAACTTCGAACATAATCATTAGTTGAACGTCACGTGTCAAATGGACACACTGCAATACACTTAGATTGATAAGTACTAAAATTTATGAGACCCAACTCATATATGACGACCTAGGCTCCCATAAATTACTTAGTATTTATGGACACCCGGAGTCTCCGATGGATCCTCTTCCCGCCACTAAATCAGTGATAAACCAGTGAGAGAGAAAGCTCCCACGTCATCGTAGTCCTGTCTTCTTCACAAGCAAGAAGTGATGCTTCTGCATACTGCTCTCAACCCTATTCGTGCTCACTCCGCGCTTCAGCGAATGTTTTTCTAGGGTTCATCTCTCATTTCCCGACCTCCCCTCCCCGCGCTCTGCGGCCATGGCATCCACGGCTTGCTCTTCGACGTGTATTGCTGGCGGCGAGATTTTGGTTCCTCCTCAGGAACTTCGTAAGAAGAGGCGTCCTCCGAACCTCTGCGGTGGAGGTGAGCCTTCTGCTTCTGTTAGCAATTTTGCTGTGGTGAATGGTGATTCTGCTTTCTGGTTTCTGTAAATACTGTAATGGATTAAAAATTGAACTGTTCGGCATGAAAACTTGCTTACTTAGCGTAAGATTTTTGTGAGCATGGGAGAGTTAACAGATCCTAAGATCAAGTAATAACCATTTTATCAGAACAGTATATCTAAATTTGCCAAAAAAAATATTTTGGTGCGATCGAATCTAAATCTTGTTTAAATCCTGCCTAAAATAGAACCGTGCTCTTGATTTGTACATTTTCTCTCTGACTGGAGCCTTTTACGTGCTTGAGATGCTGGTTAATTTAAATTGTAGTACATGATTGTCGGATTCGGTAGAATAATGCAATCTTAAGAGGGACGTCGAAGTTTTGACGACTGTTTCTTAATTTAAATCAAGTTATGTACAGTTAGAAGTTGGCGAAGTTACTGTTCGCCAGTTTTAAAGCTTGCATTAGGGGTTGATCTCAAACTCAAACTTACTAAATATGTTTTCTCCAGACCGTGCACATATAAGGAGCAGTAGAAGGAAGAGATGTATAGTAAAATCTTCTCCTGGCATCGTCCTGAAGTTGCGTGCTTATATTAAACCATGATGTTATAGAGAAGTACCAACTTCTGATTTTTTCAGTAATGTAGGTAGGGAGCATTTGAAGAAACATATTACTGGCTGAATTCATGAGCACATTGATCAAGTTCTTAGATTGTACAGAAGGTAAAAAAATGTATTGCAACTTAGTTGATGATGATCTATTTAAGATGGAGTTTGGCAGCATTATTTAAATGGGATCTAGGCATGCATTTAATTTAAATCCAACCAAACATAAAAAAAATGCAAATTAAATCCAAGGCTCCGTTAAATAAAAATTTCGTGCGTTCCGTCTCTAAATTTGCTAATCCGTCTGCTGGCCGGGTTTAATGATTTACTCCATTGTTGGAGTGATCTCCATCTCCGTCTGATAAATCCAAATTTTGTGGGATTTGATAAATCCCACTTAACATAAAATCAAGGTGCAACCAAACACTGCCTAAGGTTACACTAATATTAGCTAAGAATAGTAGAGGTTCACCAGAGTATTCTACTTTAGAATGTCTTATTGTAGGCTATGTGAACTAGTTACTATGAAAGTTATGAAAACTATAATTGCTCATTTTGTTGGACATTATCCTGACAGGTTTTATGTGTTGAAAGGTGTCCTAATATTCATATACATATTCCGAAGAAAATTAATATTCTTGACTAGAAGAAATTCACTTGAAAACATGAAAAAATAACTACCAAACAAAACAAGATTAACAGATTCTTGAAATTAAAACTTCAGAAAAGTGTTCAAACACTAGTTTGCGGCCCTTAAACAAATTTTCACTCAGAAAAATTTAGTCTAAAGTCCCAAATTGGCAGATTCTCTATTGCGACCTCTTTTAATGTGGCCTGGTTTCAGAGCAGCCCAAGGAATGTTGTTTTTGTGGTCTTATTCACGGAAGAAGTTTATTTATCAGCAATCCACACCAGTGGCTGTAGCAGGTTTGCGCATAAGATTTTTGTGAAAGATTTGCTGTTGACCAGCAACCTGTAGAACATTTTAGGAAAATTGAGTATATTTTATTCTAAAATTAATGGAATTAAATGAAATAAGCGATTGAAAATCAAAGAACCTCATGTAAGATAAATCTTGATTGAAGATGGTGATATTCTCCTCCATTTAAGTTTGGTCCAGCAAATTTGTTCTGCTAGTATAGCTGGGAATCTAGCCGTATCTATTGGGAAAAAAATATGATACACACTGGGAATCTAGCCATATCTATTGGAAAAAAAAAAAAAAGATGATACGCAGCTTTAACTTTTCTCAAGATTGTTTGAATTACGAAGTTGTAAATGGAAAAACAGAGAAGTTAGTTTAGGATATCATTAGGGTCTTCACTCTAGCTGAGTTTTAAATCTCCATTTGCATAAGTTGGATTTAATAATGTCTTGGATGTCCTGAAATACGACTGCAGCCCTGAATGCACTTGCTATAGAATAATGCTCCAACAAGGGTTTGCTCAGCTTTGCAGCAGTTTTCCGATTGCTCCTTATTGCTCTTATTAGATTTCAATTACCACAATTGGTGACAATAATTAATCAGATCTTGTACAAGGCTGTTGTCTTTGATATGATCCAGTGATTCCCAGCTGCTTGTTGAACCACAACTCTATGTAATCAAGACCAAATAAAGCTAGGTAGATATTTTCCTCAAGAATACAATGATAAGTTAACTAACAAGTGGAGTACAGAGTTGATAAGACTTCTTGAGTTGATAGGCTCCAAATCGCCACAGTTTGGTTTTGGGATATCTACGGACAGGCAGGAGATTGGAAAAATAGGAACCAACTTGGCATGGCTTTAGACAGCACTATGGTTGCGGCCTCTCTTTCTCTCCTAAAGAAGTGGAAATCCACTCCAAGGGTAGGGAAAACCTTCCATCAAACTGAAAAAACCTGAGACAAAACTCACAAAAGTTCTCCGACTGTTATGGGACATGTATATTTATTGGTAATTTCTAATTATCCCAGGAACCCTATTTACCGAAGTTCTCTTTCTAAGGAAATAAAACCTTCTTAGTAATTTTTATCAAAAAGAAAATACTTGATCTCTACTTGTATCAGTCATCCATGAGGTCTCCACTTTGTTGGGACAACTAGTTTTTGGAAGAAAATCTAGGAACTATTGGGTGCATAGTGTTTCAAATTTCAATGGCTAATCAAGGAATTACAAAATTGAAAACTTTATTTGTTTTATTAGGAATCTTTTATCCATATCTTTGTTTATTGAAGGGCGAGAAAATACTGCTCAAGAAAAATGTAACATATTTGACAACGTTTTGTTGGGACAACTAGTTTTTTGAAGAAGGTTTGGGAACTATTGGGTTGCATAATGTTTCAAATTTCAATGACTAATCAAATAATTACAAAATTGAAAACTTTATTTGTTTTATTTGGAATTTTTTTATCCATTTCTTTGTTTATTGAAGGGCGAGAAAATACTATTCTAGAAAAATGCATAAGATCAGACAACGCTTATTAAATTGTCAACAATTTTAACTATTGTTATCATTGGCAAATGTATCTCTTACTATTGGGTGATGAGGCCCTTTGATTGAGAGCAAGTATGAGATTTGGAGAGGCTAATGCAACAAATGCTCCATGCCTTGATTTGGTGTGTAGTAGGATAGCTATCTAGCCAATACAGGCCTACATGCGCCTTCATGTTGTATGGGAAGCCTGAGGATTTTCATACACATTCCAACTTTTTGTAAGATATTTTGGGTGTTTGATGCTCCCACATTAGTAATGCAACCATTACTGTTTCATCTGTCAGAGGAGTTTTGGTTTCTAATGAATTTTCAACGCGTTCTTTTTGTAAGTGTCAAAATTTTTGAGAAAAATTACTGTAAATTATGTCAATCAAGAAGGACAGAAATCAGACAGCTAAATTAAGAGTTTTCGATAATTAGGAGCTTTCTTATTTAAATTATTTTCAATTTCTTTATTCTGATTTATTTCACTGTTAGTTGAATATTTAGATTATGAATATGTATTATTAAGTTAGCTAAAATAGATTATACAAAATATTTTGTATTTAAAATAGATTGTAAAATTATTATTTAATGGAATGAAAGCAAAATGAAAGATATCGAGCCTATTCAACATTCAACCTCTTTTTCTCAAAACTTTGACATGATTGTTGACCTCATTTTTGGATGAGGTATTCACCTCTCTCCTTAGAGCATAGGGTCTAACTTTAGGCTTCACTTGTTTGACCCTCTTAGAGGACTAGTATGGAAATCACACCCTTTAGAAAATTCGAGCCACCTCGTCACTCCATCGAGTCTCGTATGGGCTGTTTCGAATCCTCGACATTTCGTTGAATTGATGAGAACCGACACATGAAACTCGAGTTGAGCTCCTACATTAATAGGAGCAGCTCCTAGGGAACCCCTTTGCTACCCGAACGCTCGATAACGCATCATTTTGCACACGTATCGCACCCCGCACGATTTTGGCTTAAATTGACTCGCCCGTCCGCGAACTCGTTCGGACGACCCCAGATGACGAAACAGACCACACAAATGCGTCCGGAACGTCGATTTTAGCTAAGAAGGACACCCATATCGTTATGGTTTCGCGCGTGAGCGATTAACTCGAATTTCAATGCACATTTTTTTATTTAGCAGTGCGCGGGCCCAGACTCAACCCAGGTTCGACTCGGGTTCGATTCAGACTGGAATCGGGTTAGGCATCAGCTCACCTGAATTTGAAATTCAAATTTCAAATTTCAAACAAATTTAAATTTTGTCTTAATTAAAAATTTTCGGGTGTTAATGCTTTTCATTTAAACCTCCCAATTGCTTCGAGTAACGACTCTTCTCTTGCTGGCCCATTTCTTTCTCGCGCACGAGAGCCTAGGCTCCTTGCTCTCACTCGACCGAAGACCCCCTGACCGCTCGTCTTCCTCATCTACCTCTTCTGAGTTCCTCTCTCTCGCTTGCTTCTGCTCAGCCCTCCCGAACGAAGCTCCTGCTCGTCTTCCTCGCTCGACAGGACAAGATTCTTCCTTCCAGCGAACCGAAGCGCTCAACTCCTTCTACGCCGAAGGCCCCTGCTCCCCTGCTCGAGCCTGCTTGCCTCACTCTCCCGAGCGAAGCCTTTGCTCGCTCTTGCTTCTCTGCTCGATCTCGCTCGACAGGAAGAATCGAAGCCGCTCAGCTCTCCTTCGTACGCCTGCTTCGCCTCCCTCAGCGATCGAGCGCCCCATTCGACATCACGAACTCCTTCTCACACCAAACAACCGCTCGACACTGCATTCCTCTTCTACGAATGGGAAGTTTCGCCTTTTGCTCCTCTCTGTGGACCGCAACCCTCGTCTTCTCTCCTTTTTGCTTCTGACCCCGATAAGCCAGATAAATTTAAACATACACACCCCTCTTTT